CAGTGATGATGCTCGTATGTATTTGCAGTACACAAGCCGCGATTAAGAAAGCTGACTCCACTGTGATGTGACCCTGTCTCTCTCTCATGCACACACACACACATGACGCGATACTCTACACGGCGCAAAACTCACCATTTGAACAGTCAATAGCAAATACTTAAACTATTCAGAAAACATACTTACAGTAGCTGATTCGGAATAAGCACCAGATTGTCATAGCAAAGTCGGAATTGACCCATTTTTTTTTAGAAATAGCCTTTGCACAGCCAGCCTTGTACTCACCTAGGTTCACAAAACTGTCGTCTGTAAAATGCGTTGCACAAATTCGAACATCTGGGTTGTGCTGTTCTGTTGTAAATAAATCTTAAACAAGGATTCCTCATTGCATCTACTTTCGGAAGTCCAAATAAAGTGCTTCTAAAGAAAAGGAAAAATAGAAATTGCATCATATGACCCCTTTAAATCATTTTGAATCATCTTGAGGCCCCCTTGGAAGTCTCCCTTGTTGCCCCCAACTGCTTTTGGGTGTCTCAGAGCTTTTATGAGAGAACATGAATATTTAGCAGAGTTTTACCTCCTTTTTATGAGCTTCTGGTATGTGTTTTGGAGGTGTGATATCACTGATACTGTAGTAACAACACATACAGGAGAAAATGTAAAGCTGTTTACAGAGGATGTGAATATGCCATGGTGCATCATGGGAATCTTGAGTTTTTTATGTGGTTTGACATATCCGAGATCTTGTGCTTGGTGGTGGGGCTTGAACTTCCATGCTCTCTTTAGCTCCCCTCATCCTCCTCTTCTCTCTCAAACAGATGTGAATGAGTGTACGAGGAGACCTTGTCTAAATTCTTACGCTTGTAAAAATCTAATTGGTGGATATCATTGCAACTGCTACCCGGGCTGGGCGGGACCGAACTGTAATATCAGTCAGTATACAAACTCTATAAAGTCTACAAAGTCTATATCTTATACTTTTTGACTCTTTTTCAGCAAAGCAGCAAACTTTTGCTTTTCCATATCTTCTCTAATGCTGATTAAAGCTGCTTTGTTATTCATGAAGCAGAAACAGCTTTAAAGCAATAGTGCACCCAAAAATTCCTAATGATGATCCAAAAACAGAAAATGTTTTCTTCCACCATACTATAAAAAAGGCTGAAATGTAAGTCATTATTCATTACCACCAGTTTTGTGAACTGGATCAATTAATATCCAAATAATTGATTCGTTCACAAATAAGCATTCTGGTCTGTTACATTTCTCTGTTTATCACACACAAGTTATCATATAGCTTCAGAAGACCACTTTTATGATGCATTTATTGTACATTTTTGTCCTTTTTGAAGCTTAAAAGCTTCTTTTAAATGACATAAAATAGAGTGACCACCACAGCAGAGGTGGGGGACTCAAGTCACCTGACTTGACTCGAGTCGCAAATTTAAGGACTTGTGACTTGCTTGACTAAATAAAGAAAATGACTTGACTTGACTTGGACTTGAGATCCAGTGACTTGAGACTTGACTTGATTTGACCTTCATGACTCGGCAGGACTTGACTTTATAACAACTCTAATTATTATTATAAATCATTGCGACATAATTTGGTAAACAAAACGCAAGCCACTGAACCAGTGGCAGAAGTGATCCGAGTCTGCGCAGTTCATGACACTGCACGAGCACAGTCAGGAACACAGCGCGCCAAATACAGGGAGCAAGAGAATCTCCCGAGATGTTTGGATAAACACTTCGAAACTGTATGCATTTGCTGTATGCATTTACAAAGCCAGGACGTCGGCACTTCAAAAAGGAAAGGTATGTAAGCTTGTTCGATCGTTGAAAACAGCACTGGTCTTAAAATTCAGCGTAAGTCTGTCATTAAATTAAAGTGATTATAAATGATTAATCTCATGTTTGTAATTAATTAACGATGTCAAACTTTAAATTCGCTGGCGTTTGCCTCTCAACAGTGCTTTAGTGTTAAGCATCCCTCTTTGTAAATCAATATATTGCTTGAGGTGAGCCACTGACTTGACTTGACTTGCTTGATTTGTTTGTACTGTGACTTAAGACTTGCTTGAGACTTGATGGTAGGGACTTGAGACTTGAACATGTGTGACTTGCCCCCACCTCTGCACCACAGTCTTTACAATTAATTTATATAACAGAAATTTGGTCATTTTTGAGAAAGCAGTATTTGAGAAAGATGTATTTTCCATCTTCAATTATTCTGTATTGCTTTGTCTCTTACAACGAGTTTTCTCCTAATTGTGCATGTGTTCTGTTTATCTGCCTGCTCTTGCATGTCTAAAAGCTGTTTTGATCTCGTTGATCTCGATCATTTTTACACATTTTGGACCAGAATGATGTGCTGATTGTGTTGATGATTATTTTACAGATGTCAACAGCTGTTACGGTCAGTGTCAGAATGGAGGAACCTGTCAGGTGGGCATATGCCTGTTTTATTTGGCATGTCTGTTTAGACATTCTGGGTTGAATCAGTTGCACTGCATCCTCCACAACCAACACTCAGAACAGTGCACATTTGTGTTTCTTTACACTGTTCTGATTTACGTAATACAGTTAGGTAAAAAACACAGTGCGTGCAAATAAATGATGCAATTCGAGGTCAGATTCATTACTGAATTTATTGAAGACATTAGTGAATTCCTCTTATGGATTTTCTAACATTTCTTATTATTGTCAGTTATTGCCTTTGATGGTGCTACTGTAAGAAAAAGCTTTTTTTCAGAATAGCAGAATTTAGTGAAATAAACCATGAACAGCCTAAACTCAAACCATACCGATTTTGCAGCCATTTAAGTTACACTTCTTATGGCAAAATTTGCATACTTTTTCTCAAGGAATCAATAATGTTGGCACAGGTGTGAGCACGCAAATGGTAAAGATAAAAAGAAATTAAATAGGTGTTGGTTCCTTAGATAATTAAGATATTTGGGCGATGCAGTTATTCTTAAAGGGATAGTTACCTGTGTGACTTATTTTCTTTTTTTGTTGTCTATACAATGGAAGTCAAAATGGTTTGATTATCAATATCCTTTTTTGTATTGCTCAGACAAAAGTAACTAGTTTCTTTGTTCAGTTTTGGGTAAACTATTCCTTTAAAAAATACCATGCAATGGAATTTATATTGGAGTAGGTTATAATTTCTTGGTTATTTGCTCCCTAACTTTTACGAGCTTACTTGGGCTTCTGCCCCGCACACCTGCGAAACATCTCCACCTCTGTGTGTTTTTGTTAGGATGGTCGTCATGGTTACGTGTGCCAGTGCCAGCCGGGCTTCATGGGAAGACACTGCGAAGTGCAGCAAAGCAGGTGTGCTAGCTCCCCTTGCCAGAATGGTGGACGCTGCCGTTCGCTAGCCACAGGTTATGAGTGTGAGTGTCTGTACGGATACACCGGAACCAACTGTGAGGTGAGGCCAATAATTGCATAAAGTATGTACACAAAGAACTTTCTCTTTCTCAATCACTCATTTCCTCTCTCGTTCTCGCACTCTCTCTGTAGGTGCAGTTGGATCTGTGCAGTCCAAACCCATGTCAGAATAAAGGCCAGTGTCATTCTATGCAGGGAGATTTTTACTGTGCCTGCACAGATGAATATGAAGGGAAGACATGTAGTCAGCTACGAGACCACTGCAAAACCAGCACCTGCCAAGGTAGACAATGACCTCACTGAAGGCCTCATAAAATGTATGATGTTCCTGTAGCTCAATTAGCAGAGCACAGCGTTATTTGATCCCCAGCGAATGCATTAGATCAAAGTTGCGTATTAATATACGTAAGCGAACTACTATTTCTAATTTATTTTATTTTCCATTAATTTTATTAAGGCAGCGGCTATTTGCACTAAGTGTAAAAAGCAATAGATGCAAATAGTGGCAAATATCTGCACCTCAACTGTAGTACATTATAAAACAGTATGGAATAATAATGTATTGAGTGTAAATTACTATTTTTAGTAGAATTATTAAATAGATGCTGCCATATAGAAAAAATAAAGCCCTTACTAACCCTACCCAATACTTTATTTTAAACTTTTCGATTATTTCCTTAATTAAAAATAAAAATAAAAATTTCCTTTCCGATGTGATAAGAGATGTGAAAAGGGAGAAGAACTAGTTCGGCAAAAGGCGGATTCGAACTCAGGTCGCTCGCGTCATAAAGAATGCGTTAAGTGCTTTATAACCTACACCAGTGGTTCTCAAACTTTTTACAGCAGCGTACCCCCTGGGGCATTTAACATCCTTCTGCATACCCCCTCTTTTCCACTTAGACCGCAGTCACACCTTTTCTATTAAAGGACAATATTTGTCCTTAAATTGATTTACAGGTGCATTTTTTACCTTTATAGAGGCAAATATTTTCTATCCTTATTAATTGTATGTCATGTTTTATGTCATATTCTTAACATTCCATTAAGTGTATTATTAATATATTATGCAATAAATGATGGCAAATCGAAGTGATACTTGTAGATTTAAAAATAAAACCACCAATAGGTGGCGGTGTTCTGGCGATTTGTGCTACCCGCTTAGATTGTGCTACCTCCCATTGAAAAGATAGTTAGCACAAATCGATAGCGAAAAATGCTACCTATCAGCTTGTGCTACCAGCATCTTATTCATGTGGTTTGAGGCTTTTTTTAAGAACTCTCATTTTCCTGCTTTTTACATTGGAAGCGGCATTTTGCTTGTCAGAAATACATGTTCGGTTTTAATGTTACTTTAAGTTGGGGTAGAATTAAATGAATGCTAAAACTCAGAATTTTGTTCGCGTACCCCTGGGTGTACGTGAGATGACGGAGGGGGGTACCCCAGTCTGAGAACCACTAACCTACATCACTGAAGCCATTAATTGATGGCCATCTTTTGTAATGTTGTCCAGCCAACCATACATTGGTGGGCGGAGTTAGTGCAAATAGCCTCTGCCAACAAGGTGGGCTTTTTGCACTTAGTGTAAATAGACACTGTTTTAATTATTTTTTTTCCCTTTTGTATGTCCCCTCCTGACATTAATGTCAATGTTTGGTTAATCTTGTTTTGGATGATGTTCTTTTTCCTCATTAGTGATTGACAGTTGTACTATTGCCGTGACAACCAATGGCACAGCAAAAGCGGTTCGGCACATCTTATCAAATGTGTGTGGTCCTCATGGGCGCTGCATCAGTCAGTCAGGAGGAAACTTCACTTGTGCCTGCCAACCAGGATTCACTGGGACATACTGTCATGAGAGTGAGTAATATTACGTACATCTAAACACACACCATTATTACAGCTTTATAGCAGTATTTACAGTACACACACCAATTAATGGGGGTTTCTTTTCTGCTTTCTCTCTCAGATGTAAATGACTGTGCATCATCTCCTTGTCAGAGCGGAGGAACATGCATTGATGACATCGACTCCTTTCGCTGTGTCTGTCCTGATGGCTTTGATGGGCAACTCTGTGAGCTGGGTAAAAATATCAGCGCTACATACTTAACTTAACTATTGTCTCTTTTAGTAGTGGAGCTCTAAACACATTTAGTCCATAGAGATTTATTTCGACAAAAATTTAAGCTGTACAACTATTTTTATCATTGATAAAAATAATAATAGTCCCTTGAGCACCAAAATAGCATATTAGAATGATTTTTGATGGATCATGTGACACTGAAGACTGAAGTAATGGCTGCTGAATATTTAGCTTCAGCTTTTTTGTTTTATTCCATCACAGGAATACATTTTATTTTTTATAATTTTTTGTATTTTAAATTTTAAGAATATTTCATAGTATTACAGTTTTTATCAAATAAATGCAGTCTTCCTGAAAGTAAGAGATTTTTACCAACCTTAAGCTTCTTTCCACAAACCAGGTTTCTTGCTGTTCTAGCAAGATCTAAAAAAAAAAAGCTAATCTGAGTCTGTTTTAGTACAGGGTCTAGCATATATTCGCCATTAGAATTAAAGTACTCCAGCCTAATTGACAGGAGCGAACCGCAACTGATGATGTATAATATTTTATAATAGTGATTATAATCTTCTCTTCAGAGGTGAATGAGTGTAGCGGCGAGCCTTGTCTAAATGGAGGTATGTGCACCGATCTGCTGAATGATTTCTACTGTTGCTGCACTGACAACTGGAAAGGAAAGACGTGTAACTCACGTAAGTGAATGTATGCTTTAGTTTCAATTTTAGGCATTTAACTTTATGCACTTGTACTTAAAGTAGAGTTAATGTTACAGGAGACAGTCAGTGTGATTCCAGTACATGCGCTAACGGAGGTACATGCTATGATCATGGAGACTCATTCCGATGTGCGTGTCCCTCTGGATGGGGTGGCAGTACCTGTAACACAGGTGAGATAGAAGCCAGAACGCCTCCATGTTGACCTCATTTAATCTATATTTTTCTGACTATCTCTGTCTCTCTCTCTAGCCATGAACAGCTCGTGTGAATCTGGTCCGTGTCTAAATGGCGGGACTTGTATTGGAGGGGGCAGCGTCTTCACCTGCATCTGTAAGGATGGATGGGAGGGACCTACCTGTGCTCAAGGTAAGGCCACGCCCACTTACCAATTTCTCTTTTCCCAAAATATCAACTAACTACACCTTGTGCATGTGTAAATGTGATTTACTCCCACGTGTATGGCAGGCTGTGATTTGCCCGGACAGGTCTAGTTCTGATATATCATCTGGTAGTTCTGCCTTTATGAGATGTTTTCATTCTGTTTTCAGATGTTGATGACTGCAGCCCTCATCCATGGTAAGTGATGCAACAGATAACGTAAGTGAAGAAAAGTACAGAAAAGAGAACAAAACAATCACTCCCGTAAACATGTCACTCACAAAACTTCGTTTGAACTTTTGAATATGAATATAGAATATAAATGTGTCTAAACCCACACATCTAACGTGGGAAGGAAGCTACAAGTTAATGCACCTGTAGCATCTTTATCTTGCTAAGCGGGTAAGATATACTCAGATGCTGTCTCTCTGTCCCGCTCTTTCTGTAGTTATAATGGGGGACAGTGTGTGGATGGGGTCAACTGGTTTCGCTGTGAGTGCGCACCTGGATTTGCAGGACCTGACTGTCGAATCAGTGAGTAAATAAACATACAAATATCTCTAAATATGACTATGAATATTCATGAGATGACATTCCTTAAAGTTTTTTGATATTAAAACCTTTAAGAAATAAAATATTTAACAATACTATTATTTAAATGAATATAAAAATATTAATATTAAATAATAATTTACAAGTGGAATGTTTGAAAAACCAGTTTGAACATAGACATTGTTTTTGCAGTTCCATTTAGTGCAACTAGTGACGCAAAAATTACACACTTCATACATTGTGAACAATTTATCCATGTATGTGTTTCATTTTAAAAATTGAGCTCATAATTTTTCAATCAAATATTAGTCTTCTTGTGAAATGGCAGACTTCTATCTGGTGACATATGTCGCTTTTCTTACAATCAACTGCAAGCTTGCGTTCATATCCAGTCAAAACCAAATGAATTGAAGTCCTCATCCTACATTTTTTATTTCCTTTTCTATGAGCCATTTCACTCAGGTGTATGTCACAATAAGGAAAAAAGATCTGATGCTACTTTCGATACATTCAGACTAACACTCTCTACTTCTGTCACTCACTCGATCTCAGACATAGATGAGTGTCAGTCCTCTCCCTGTTCGTATGGAGCCACATGTGTGGATGAGATTAATGGATATCGCTGTCTTTGCCCCATGGGACGAGCTGGACCACGCTGCCAGGAGTGTGAGTTCCCACTGACAGACCACCCTACTTGTTTGCATTATGAGAAAATCTTTGCCGTCTAGTCATGTCGTGTGAGCCCAGCTTAACTTCAGCCAAACAAAACTGGACTAGACTAAATTGCCTGTTTCAGCGGCTTTCAACAGGGGTCTGTGGTTGTTCTGCACAGGCTCCGCCAACTTTTGTGTGGAAAAAAAAATTAAAATACAGCTAAATGAATTCAGCTAAATGTTTCATTGTCCCTTACAAATTAAAATGCATTAAGTAAAATGTTATGATTATTTATTTATTGAAATTATGGGATGGCATATTATTATTTGATGCATATTATAATAGGACAGGCGTAAAATGCATCACTCAGTTATGTACAATAAATTTATTTAAATTTAAATAAATTTCATTAAAAAAAAAAACAGTAAAAATAGTAATACTGTGAGATAGTTTTACTATTTTAAATAACTCTTTTCTATTTTAATATATTAAAATTTTTAATTTATTTCTATAATGGCAAAGCTGAAACCGGTCTTAAGTGTCAAATGAAGAAATCATTCTAAAATGCAAATTTTGTGCTTTTTATCAATTTGTGGAAACCCAAATAATTTTTTCAGGTTTTTTTGATGAATAGAAAGTTCAAAAGAACAGCATTTATTTTAAACATTATAAATGTCATTACTGTCACGTTTGATCATGTTAATGTATCCCTGCTGAATTGAAGTACTAATTAAAAAAATCTTACTAACTGCAAACTTTTAAACTACTATAATGTTTATGATCTGGTCTCACTGTCTTTCTCTGTGTTCCTCTCCATCTCTCTTCATCTGTAGTTATTGGTGTTGGAAAGGCATGCGATCGCTCTGGGGTGAAGGCTAATCACGGTGATCGCTGGGAGGATGGGTGCAACAGCTGTCAGTGCATGAACGGAAACATCAGGTGCACTAAAGTGAGTCCAACAAGCTACCTCAGACTGTGCTACTGTACCAATCAAATACCAATTGCAGTCACATTCAGTGTAAAATGTTAATGTCAGGTGGAGTTAAAAAGGTGAAAATGAATTAAGGACATAATTTTGTTTATGTTATCATTTATTCTTTTATTTTTATTATTATTTATTTTTATCTCCATGTAGATATAGATAATTCATTAAGATTTTTTTATTGTGACCACAGGTGCATTGTGGTCGTCAGCCCTGCTTGTTGCAGTCAGACTCTGGTGAGCCACAGCACCCCCTGTGTCCACTAGGACAGGAGTGTGTAGAGCATCATTTCCTGTCTTGCCTTCATCCACCATGCAATCATCTGGGTATATGCACCACTCGTGAAGGTCTACAGCCCATCGGCACTCGGTGCCTACCCAACAATGGCTACCTAGACGACAACTGTGCTCGTGTTACGCTTGTATTTGTATTTGACAGTGTCCCGCAGGTAAGAGTTTTTCATTTAGTAAATGCTAAAAGTACTGAAAGTCAGATGTCAAATATGCACAGCTCTTTATCTCAGACACACTTGATTTTTCCATTCAAAATGTGTTGGGTTTGTTTAACAGGGCACTACTGCTGAAGGAGTTTGCACAGAGCTAACGTATCTGCCAATCACACGAACTCTGGCTAAAGACCACACCCTTTCCATTCTTTGTGACCAATCACCTTCCAGCCAAAATGCAGTGGAGGTTGCTATGGTGAGCTCACTTTCTTTAATCATCAGTCGTTAATCCTATCAAATTACGTCATCTGCTCTAAACAATCCCTGTCTGCTTGGTACTCATGTTCAGTCTCAGATCTTGATGTGTCATATAAAAACACTGTTAAAAAGACTGAACATAAAAGAAGGTTAATGATGAAGATTTAACGGTTTCTTGTTACTGTACCTCAAGTTGTCAGTTCATTATTTATTAGAAGCTGTTTTCAAATGCCAACAAATACAAACTTTTTACTTGGAAAGTGGGCCTTGAAGAAAATCCCAAGTTTCCTGCTGCTAAACACAACTGTGGCGACATTTATGTGTGCTTATCTCGTAAAAGCAATTACTCTAACATAACTTGAAGGCAGCGTAAAACAGTGTGCATCAAAATACAGATTTTTTTCATTCAATAACACGCTCTTCCTGAAACCATCACATCTGTTTTCCTTCACTTCGGAGTGTTTATTTCTTTCTTTCCATCTCGTCTGTCCTTTAAAACATTTCCCTGCCTTTCTTCCAGTTTGCACTTCTTCAAAAAAAAGGCCCTTTAAATCAGAGTCAAACGGCTTCCAAAGAGAGCTTGTAAAATTTGATTATTTTTCTGATCTTTTTGTGAATTCTTTTGTGACTTATTTTCTTTCAATTCTCTCATCTAAATGTTTCTTTCACATCAAACATCCAGCTTTTCATCCTTTAACATATCTCACCTGTCCTGCTCTGCACCTTCTCGTCTTTCTCTTTATCTCCTTCACTCACTCTGAGACCATTGCTGTAGTAATGCAGTCTCTTGGGGAAAGGTCTGGCCCTCTACTTTAAGCCCTTAATGGCCAGAATCTTAGTTCTACTCTTTCTGTGATGTTGTAATGCTATTAAGATTTATGTTGTAACATTGAAAGTTTTCCGGAAAAGGAGCGGTAACCTTTTATGGTGTGAGCCCTCATAAGGCTGTGCTTTGTGCTGACTCCAGCGTGGTTATACCCTGACTATTACCACAGACAAATTACATGTGGCTGGTCATGAAATTTAAGGGAAAGGTGAATAACTTGCCCAGTCAGGTCTAACTTCTTTCATTTCTGATCTAGCTATTCTTTTTTCCTTCCTCACTCTAAATTCCTTTCCTCCTATTTTACACTGTCTTTCTATCTCTGTCATTCCACTATGTCTCTATCATTCCTCCTTCCCTTTTCTCTGACTGTATTTTTTCTTTTTTTAGTTTCAATTTTAGTATGTTTTCTTACGAAATCAAAGGGAAAAAAAAGAAATATTATTTTGTCACAATTTTATTTCCAGACTCAAATGAGATTTTCCCTTATTAGTTATCCTAATAGAACAGGGACTTTCTCATTGCTTGCTTCATAATCAAATGTTTGTTTTATCTGTTTTATTTTGTGGTTAAACTTTTCCTGGATGTCGAATTGTTATGTGTCTGCCTGTTTCAGTAGTGAGGTTGTGTGTCTCTACCAATTTGGCTCTTAGTTGTTGTTTTTTTTTTTTTTTCATTTTACGGTTTACAGATGTTCTACCATTGTGTACTGTCTTTTTGGGGCCAAATAGCATTACATTGACTGTTGTTGTTGTTTTGGAGTTTTCCAACAAGTGATATAATTATGTGAATGCAAGTAAAACATCAGGACTATAGCTAAGAGAAAGGACTTGAGTCTTTGCGAATTTTCATTTGCTCTTTTTCATTCTCTCTGCTTTGATTTCCACAGTCATATGAGCAAAACACCTTTGTTGAGGGACGAGCTCAGATACAGGATGTTGTCCGCTCCATCATTGATGTTCTGTCCAAACCTCACAACAGCACGTTGCTGTTGGCTGTGAGAGAGGTCAGAGTTGACACTCAGGATCCACGTCCCCAAGTCGGTGAGTCTCTTTTAGACATCATAACATAAATCTATTATTATAATTAATCTTTTAAATAATTATGATTTAATTTATAATTTAATTAGAGTTTATTTATAAAATAATTTAAATGCATATATTATAATAAGTTTTGGGTTGGTAAGATGTTTTCTAATTTCGTGTATTTTAAAATGTAATTTATTCCCGTGAAAGCTGTCAAATTTTCAGCATCATTACGCCAGGCATCAGTGTCACATGATCCTTCAGAAATCATTGTAATATGCTGATTTGATGCTCAAAAAATATTTTTTTGCAATACATTTTCAAGATTCTTTATTGAATGGAAAGTTCAAAAGAACAGAATCTATTTGAAATCTAAATCTTTTGTAACATTATTTATGTCTTTGCTGTCACTTTTGATCCATTTATTTTGATAAAGTATTAATTTCTTTAAAAAAAATCATACTGACCCCCAAAAATTTTGAATGGTAGTGAATATGTCTTTTTTTGTCTCTTTCTACAGGTTACCTCATTCCGTTGCTGTGTGTGCTGTTTGTGGTATTATGGATCTCATGTGTCATCGTCTGCGTGTGGTGGTTCAGGAGACGCTGGAAAGCGAGACAAAGAGAGGACACGCAGATAGAGGAGAGCATCAACAACCAGCGCGGGACACTACTGAGCACTCACACGCCTCACAAAGACAACACAGACCCGCTGCAGGAGAACAAGAACCTGCTTTACCCTCTGGATCGGATTGGAGACGGAGCCGAGCGAGAGGAAGAGGAGGAAGAAGGAGATGAAGAGAGCGACAGAGGGCTGGTTCTGCATAAGTGCTCATCTCTTGCGTACACTAAAGGGGACGCAGTGTACACTATTCACACTACAGCCCAAAATCAGCCAAACAGGACACACTACAGCAGCAAAGAAAACTGCTGCAAGAACAAAGTGAACGAGAGTTTAAGTGAGCACATGAAAGATCATTACGTATGAAAGAACCAGACAAACTGGACAAAAATTTAAGTATTTTTTTGCTGTCTGATCTGAAAGCTTTTGGGCTTGTGCGATTGGTGTTTTTCATCCTTTTTTCATCATTGGGTAGTCAAATGAAACAGGGATTTGTGTCAGCAAATGAGACATTCAAAGAATGGTTTTTCATTCCACTATGTCTCTATCATTCCTCCTTCCCTTTTCTCTGACTGTATTTTTTCTTTTTTTAGTTTCAATTTTAGTATGTTTTCTTACGAAATCAAAGGGAAAAAAAAGAAATATTATTTTGTCACAATTTTATTTCCAGACTCAAATGAGATTTTCCCTTATTAGTTATCCTAATAGAACAGGGACTTTCTCATTGCTTGCTTCATAATCAAATGTTTGTTTTATCTGTTTTATTTTGTGGTTAAACTTTTCCTGGATGTCGAATTGTTATGTGTCTGCCTGTTTCAGTAGTGAGGTTGTGTGTCTCTACCAATTTGGCTCTTAGTTGTTGTTTTTTTTTTTTTTTCATTTTACGGTTTACAGATGTTCTACCATTGTGTACTGTCTTTTTGGGGCCAAATAGCATTACATTGACTGTTGTTGTTGTTTTGGAGTTTTCCAACAAGTGATATAATTATGTGAATGCAAGTAAAACATCAGGACTATAGCTAAGAGAAAGGACTTGAGTCTTTGCGAATTTTCATTTGCTCTTTTTCATTCTCTCTGCTTTGATTTCCACAGTCATATGAGCAAAACACCTTTGTTGAGGGACGAGCTCAGATACAGGATGTTGTCCGCTCCATCATTGATGTTCTGTCCAAACCTCACAACAGCACGTTGCTGTTGGCTGTGAGAGAGGTCAGAGTTGACACTCAGGATCCACGTCCCCAAGTCGGTGAGTCTCTTTTAGACATCATAACATAAATCTATTATTATAATTAATCTTTTAAATAATTATGATTTAATTTATAATTTAATTAGAGTTTATTTATAAAATAATTTAAATGCATATATTATAATAAGTTTTGGGTTGGTAAGATGTTTTCTAATTTCGTGTATTTTAAAATGTAATTTATTCCCGTGAAAGCTGTCAAATTTTCAGCATCATTACGCCAGGCATCAGTGTCACATGATCCTTCAGAAATCATTGTAATATGCTGATTTGATGCTCAAAAAATATTTTTTTGCAATACATTTTCAAGATTCTTTATTGAATGGAAAGTTCAAAAGAACAGAATCTATTTGAAATCTAAATCTTTTGTAACATTATTTATGTCTTTGCTGTCACTTTTGATCCATTTATTTTGATAAAGTATTAATTTCTTTAAAAAAAATCATACTGACCCCCAAAAATTTTGAATGGTAGTGAATATGTCTTTTTTTGTCTCTTTCTACAGGTTACCTCATTCCGTTGCTGTGTGTGCTGTTTGTGGTATTATGGATCTCATGTGTCATCGTCTGCGTGTGGTGGTTCAGGAGACGCTGGAAAGCGAGACAAAGAGAGGACACGCAGATAGAGGAGAGCATCAACAACCAGCGCGGGACACTACTGAGCACTCACACGCCTCACAAAGACAACACAGACCCGCTGCAGGAGAACAAGAACCTGCTTTACCCTCTGGATCGGATTGGAGACGGAGCCGAGCGAGAGGAAGAGGAGGAAGAAGGAGATGAAGAGAGCGACAGAGGGCTGGTTCTGCATAAGTGCTCATCTCTTGCGTACACTAAAGGGGACGCAGTGTACACTATTCACACTACAGCCCAAAATCAGCCAAACAGGACACACTACAGCAGCAAAGACAACCGCTGCAAGAACAAAGTGAACGAGAGTTTAAGTGAGCACATGAAAGATCATTACGTATGAAAGAACCAGACAAACTGGACAAAAATTTAAGTATTTTTTTGCTGTCTGATCTGAAAGCTTTTGGGCTTGTGCGATTGGTGTTTTTCATCCTTTTTTCATCATTGGGTAGTCAAATGAAACAGGGATTTGTGTCAGCAAATGAGACATTCAAAGAATGGTTTTCTTTTGTTTACACTTCACTCTTTTTCCTTAAAAATAAGGACATTTTTACACAAAGCTGAACTTTGAGATTATGTCTGTGAACTGTGGCGCGAGCTTTGACCCTTGGGGCTAAGGAGGAATCAGCGATAGGCAGCTTTAAAGTGTTTTTGATTATGTCCAGACCTGCCCAAAGTCAAGTGTTAGAAGCCGTTAAATCTTCCAGAGGTATATATACACAAGTGTCTCATTGAACCTTCACGATAGCGCTTACCTTGTATATACATTTCGCATAATAATACACATATGTTGGTTCTTGTTTTTGTTAACAAATTCTATTGACACACTTAAATGGGTAGTTCACCCAAAAAAAGATTCAGTCATCATTTACTCACCCTCATGTTATTCCAAACCCGTATGACTTTTTTCTTCTGTATAACACAAGTTACATAAGAGTGTAGGAAGTCACTCAAGAACTGGAGCTTTCAAGCTTCAAAAGTGATGCAAAAGCACAATAAAAGTATCATAAGTGTATCATAAAATTGATATGTTACATTCCAAGTCATCTGGAGCCATGTGATAGCTTTGTGTGATGAACAGACCAAAATATACGTCATTATTCACTAATAGCTCTTCTTTTGTTGGGCTGTTTACCTGTTGTCAGTGAGTGAAAACCAGATCATTCAGAGTTGAACTGGATCAACTGATTCATTGAAAAGCTCCAACTCAAAAGAATCGTTTGTTCATGAATCAGAAAATCTCTAACACTCTCAACAAGGAGATTAAGGGTGTATATCAATATTATGTGAATAATGTCTGAAGTTTGTCCTTCACACAAATCTGTTGTATGACATCAGAAGACTTTTTAAAGAGCTTGACAGACTTAGTCCTCATTCATTTTTGTTACACAGAAAAGAGAATGAAACAACATTTGGAACGACATGAGGGTGAGTAAATGATGACAAGTTTAATTTTTCGGTGAACTAAGATACTGTTAAGTATAAAAGGTTTACTGTTTTATATTGAAATTCACCTTCTTTGGGAATTGGTACTCGTAGTCCAGACAGTATGAGTATTTTGACTGATAAAGTCTCACTCAGCTCTTGATGGTTAGAAATTATTGGTCAGTTTTTTATTTTTATTTTTTTCAAGTGACAGCCATATAAACAGAACAGTCATGATGTAAAGAATCAAGGGCCACTTCAGTCAGTGCACTATTGTGTTGTCGCAAAACTCTTTTTTTTTGGTTTTTGGTCACACAGTAGGAGACAATGATTTTAATTGTTTAATCACTGAGAGATAGTTCATTATATTGAAAAAATATTCATATGTACATATGTAAATAGTGGAAAAAGACAGCTGTGTATATTCGAGTTTAGTAAGTTATGTGACACCTTTTTATCATTGTCATTCTTAGAATTATTACTTTTTCTTATTCTCTCCTTTAGTCGCTCTCCTTTTCAACAGTGTCATTCCTTTTATTTATGTTGGTCAGAAAATGTTTTATATATAAATATGTAATAAAATGGCCACAGGTTGGTAGTCTATCTGTGGAGACAAAAAATACTTTAATACTTTTCTATCTTCATGTTAGAATAGATTTTCTGTGTTGTTTTTATGACTTTCCTAATGAATGTCGACTAAGGATTGGACACATTGACCATGCTGAAAGAATGTTTTGCCACTGATCAAATGCTGACTTCTTCTGAAGGTCTACAGTACTTCATTGGAGAAAGACTCAAAGACTTCAAAGAAATATGCTGCATGTTTGAGTGGCACTTTGTTTCCTTGGAAAAGTCCAACACCTGCATTTTCAAGAAGCTGGATGTTGGAAGACTTTGGAAGATTTTTTTTTATTATTATTCTTAATGTTTTCAGAACATCGTTGCTTTGTATTATTATGCTACAATTCAAAATGAACCACAAACGGACCAGAGTATTGACCCATGTCAAAGACAGAAAACACGTGAGTTTAAAGTGTATCTTCTGTTTGAGTATTGTGTTGAATATCAGATTTTGTATTTATAAAATGGTACTATATTACTATAATACCATTTTTCAAAAGAACACTATGAGTAAAGATTTATGTTATCAGAAATCCTCCCTTGTCTGGGGTGGCTGGGGTATTTTCCCCTCCTTTATTCATGAGCTGTTCTGTCATATTTGATTGGGGTCAAATCAAATGCAATTAAGATTTTTGGAACGTCAGAAAAATTGTATCAGTGCATGTTGCTGTGGCTGAATGAAGGGAACAATTTATGTTTTTCATTGTCATGTGTTTCATTTGGTGTCTTTAGTGCACAGAAAAACATAATACAGTTGAATATAGAAATGATTGGATGATGCAAAATGTGACAGTAATGCAGATGAGTTTACATTCTGAATCATGTCACTCCTCAATTAAAGTTTTATTATTGTAATATTAAGGAATTGAAACACTCCCCTAACATGGGAAAACAAGTCCATCACATTTCTGGCTGTGATTAGTTCTACATGCACTGATGCTCATACTGAATCTGGCATTTCATTTGTTAAATCTGTTTGATTTTCCCAAGTATTTATTAAAGACTTTTGTACCTATGAGGTTTACACTTTTATTTCATATGTAGCATTTGTGATGTCTTCATTTAGCTTTTCCATTCATCTGTCACCTGCTGACATCATGCATGACAGTGAAATCTACAGAGCTGGAGAAGAATCCTCTGAGAGTTGAAGAGGCTGATAACAAGGGTTTTGTTTTGACTCAGTCAGAGTAACGATGTGTATCATCTCTCTTAAAGATTAACCTGCTCTAACTCATCCTGGGACTCGGTTTTAATTTCCCAAGGAAAAAAAGACACGCCCACATAAAAAAATCCTCCATTTCTTTTCAGAACTATTCACCTTGAATTACCAGATCTTTCTGGAGGACGAGGGTGTAAAGCATTGGCAAGCAACCAGTAAAGATTTTTAAAAAAAGGCATCACAACTGTTTTCAACACTGATAATAATTCTTGAGAAGTTTCTTGAGCACCAAATCAGCATATTAGAATGATTTGTGAAGAATCATGTGACACTGAAGACTGGAGCAATGATGCTGAAAATACAGCTTTGCCATCACAGGAATAAATTACCTTTTAAAATACATTAAGATAACAGTTAAAACAGTTACATTGCAATAATATTTGAGAATACACAGTTTTTACTGTATATTTATTAAATAAACTGGCAGTCCTATAAAAGACTTGCTTTCAAAAACCTAAAATAGCATCACAGTTTTCAACATTGATAATATTTCTTGAAAAGTTTCTTGAGCACCAAATCATCACAATGATTTCTGAAGAACCATGTAACACTGAAGACCGCAATGACTGCTGAAAATTCAGCTTTGCCATTTAAAATATATTAAGATAACTGTTAAAAGTTAAATTGCAATAATATTTCAAAATATTACTGTATATTTATTAAGTAAATTGGTAGTCCTGGTGAGCATAATAGACTTGCTTTCAAAAACATTAAAAAAATAATTGTATAGTGTAGTTTACCCAAAAATGATTTTGTCATGGAGATAAGATGCTAGTTCATGCCAGTTCATGCTGGTTTCACATACAATGAAAAGTGACTGGGGTTGTTATGCTCTAAAAATGAATTAAAGATTTGAGAGCTGTTTTATATTACAGTATATTTTCCTTTAAAGGGCACCTATTATGCAAAATCCACTTTTAGATGGTGTTTGGACATAAATGTGTGTTGGCGGTGTGTGAACACAACCACCCTACAATGATAAAAATCCACCCACTCCTCATTTTTTAATCCTCTTTAAACCAAGTCAGTCTCACTAGGCCTGCCGTTTTGATTCTCATGCAGTGTGACGTCACACTGCATAGGGCCGGGCC